TATCTGTAAAGTGGGAATGATTACCTGTGAGGAGGACATGAAACTCCAGAAACAAAGCTCGAGAGGTGCTGGGAGGTGACTAATAGGCGTTTCTGGGTCGTATCCCTCATATTCTGCTGCTTCTTAAAACCCAGCCCAGCTCTGGGAAAACGGGAAGTACTGGTAAAGAGCAATGTAAACCAAAAGTAAAAAGCCTGCGGGTTTTAAAACACTACCTTTAGTTGGGTGACCCAGTCAGTACAAAGTGAACTCAGGTGCTTAATCTTACTTCATTTTACCGCAGCCCTAGGGGTACAGGCACAGACCCTTCTTTCCATTTTGCAGGGGAAAAGCTGAGGCTTAAAAGTTTAACTAGCTTAAGGTAAAAATGAAAATCCCCAGATCTAAAAGCATCTTCAGAAAGATTATACGACTGAGATGTGAGCATTTTCCATTGAACTCTGGTTCCAGAATTCCTGGGCTCCCCAACCAAAGATTTCACTAGCACTTCTTAATACAACAGGGTTACTTTGTATTCTCAACCTGTTGTGACCAGGAAGGACCTGGGCTGGGCTGAGGCACTAATTCTTATTTCAGAATTGATGTGTGGACTCCTATTGGGCACCAAAGTGCTCTGCCAGCAACTGAAAAGTCAAAAATTGGCCAGAACTGTGTTCAGGTCGTGATTTTTACTTAGATTAATTTCATCTTGAAGGCCCTAGGATGAACAGATATTGGCTCTGCCAGATACCTTCGTTGACTTTCTGAGGAATTAGTCTTTCCCTAATCATGGAAACTTTCCTTTGTTTAGTGCTTTATAGTCTCTTAAATGTAGTTTGCCTTATCCTAGCGGGAAAAAATGGAGGGGGGCGCCTGGCTAGCTCAGTCAGTAGAGTGTGCGACTTTTGATCTCAGGGTTTTGAGTTCCAGCCCCACACTGGGTGGAGCGATTACTTAAAAATAAAATCTTTTTTTAAAAATGAGAGATGGGCCTCATCTATTACTGGTACGTGATGCCCTTTTTTTTTTTTGCTGGGCCCCACTGCAACCTCCAACTGCTTTCCCATGCTGCCCCTCTCATGTCTGTAGCTTTTTCACATCTGACCAAAGAGCTGAAGTTAGTCCTCTGATCTCTGAGTATCAAGTCAGAATCCAATTTCTCTAACTTAACCTTGTATGTTATGACTGCTGAAGCTGTCCTCATTGAGAAGAGGATTCCTCTCCCAAGGATATTTGCAGGAATTCTCATTTGCTGCCAGATCTCAGAATTGTAAATCTATTTGCTTCCCTTCCTCCCCTCAACTAGGGTGGGTGAACCCCAGCTTCTCCCTTGTTTCCACCTCAGTACTACTGACATTTGGGGCAACAACTGGGCAGGGGGGAGAGCTGGGGCTGTCCTGTGTGTTGCAGGATGTTTAGAAACATCCTTGCTCTCCAGCTACTTGTTAATCATACAAACACACACACACGTCCACACACACACCCCCAGCAGCAGTTCAAAATGCCTTCAGACATGGGCAAAATTGCTCCACTGGAGAACCACTGCTTTAGATAAACATCTGACCAAGCCCTCATTTAGCCATTTAGTCAACCTGAGCAAGTCCTAGGTATTAGACATTCTATGGGCAAGTGACAAAACTTTTTAAATGGTTAAAACAGCCACCATTTATGAGTATTTGAGTGAAGCATGCTCTGAAGTATTTAGATAGTCGCCTTTAATCCTTAAACTCTGCAAGGGAAGTACCCCCTCTTTTTCAGGGGAGAAGCCCATCTCCAGTGAATGCACCTGCCTGAGGCCACACACTGAGGGGCAGCCCCGGGGGGATTCCGAGGTCCCCCTTCACCCCTGCTCTCTACTGCTTCCTTCCCCTTGAGCGGTTTGCCTTCCAAATGGGATAAGCCTCAGGCCCCCTTCTTTATGAAGCCTCCTCTCAGCCTTTCTGGGGACTCCGAGATCTCTCCGCTGACAGATGGCAGACCACTGTGCCCCGGCGGCTGGCTTCGCTGCTCACCAGATCCTCCCTCCGTTGCATTTGGCGTCAAGGATCGGTGTCCACGAGGCTGGCAGCCGCATCAAGTCCACGAAGCTGGCAGCCGCATCAAGTGCATCAAGTCCCCTTGAAATCTATTTGGTCAAAGATCCGACGCTGTTTGTGGAGCAAACAAGGAAGGACTAAGCGGCCTGAAAAAAACCCACATTCTGGGTGCTCAAATTTTATTTGAGAAGTTAGGACATCTGCCCTTTTCTGAGAAGTCTCATTTTTCTGTGGCTTATCCCTTTGACCCTGGTTCCATGAAGGAAGCAGAGGTCTTCAGGAACATCACTTCTAGGCCCTGGGAGGGGTCGGGGGCCGCTATCTTACTTTTGCAAGGCTTTGTAAGATGTTCTTGGTTCACTGTCCTCCATCAAAAGATGGAAAAAGATCCCTAAGTGTGACTCCTTGGTCCCTTTTGCCAGAATGATGTCCAGGGTCACCGAGGCAAAGTCAGACTCAAAGTGGATGACTGCTTTAAGCTGCAAGCCCAAAACTACTTTGAAGCCTTGCATTTAATCTTGATCAATGAGCAATTTGCATTTTCTGAAACATCCATATTTGATATTAAAAGGACTTAACTCCCCACATGTACTTCTAAGAGTGAAATCGATATGCCTTGGTGCATGTTTCTCACATACCACATACCCCTGGGGTTGGTGCGTTTGTTCGAGGCAGGTGGACTCGAGATCTTTCGGAACCCTTGGTGTGCTCTCTGTCTATAAAACGGTGTCATGAGAAGAAATCCTCCGGCTTCACAACAGATGATTTTCCTTGGGTTTCTGGGAGCCCCTTCTCTTGGGCATCAGCGAATGGATTTCCCCGTGGTCAGGCTCTGCAGGGGCTTCATAGGCGGCCGGGCTTGCCATTGCTTCTGAACACAAAAGAGGAACAAAAAGCTCTGGACTTGAGTAACAGTCTATTTTGATCAGGAAAGATGGCACAAATGGGGGAGATGCCAACAGAGTACAGCAGGGGACAGGAAGCCTGAGGCAAGGAAAGACTCTCTCTCCAACTCAGGTCTCCAGACTTCGGGGCTTCTGGTCTCCCCAGTGCCTCACCTTCTATTTATGACTTCATTCCAGGAAGAGTAGGGCAGTTCCGCCATTTTGCAGATGAGGGGGAACGAGTCTTGGTGAGATTGCAGAACTGAACCCCAGGAGATGCTGATCCCAGAACAGACTGGGGAAGCTGAGCCCATGCTGGCCATTGGGTTGGCACAACCTCCCAGAGGGGGCCAACCTGGAACCTACCTTTTCTCAATACTTTTCAGCATTTAAAGGTCTCTGAGTTCATAGCTTATTAACTATGGTCCCAAAATTCCCCTAGGTGTAAAGTACTTCATCCATAGAAAGTACCTGTCTATTCCATGGTGTTCATAATAATCAGACTTTGCTGGCATCCGTGTATCGACTTCCAGCACCTGTGGACACCACACCAGGGGTTCACACACTATAGCCTATTATCCGCAAGGCCAGCCTGACCCCCTTAGCAGATACAAAGCCGTGTGGTGCCTCTTTTAAGATGGAATTAATCCTACATTGCTGCCTCCCCTCCCATCATTCCCACAACACAAGCCTGTGCTTCGATGCCCTGGGGCCTCAGGAGGAGTCGGGCCAGGGGAGGACTGCTAGCCCCACTCACTCGCACATCAGTACGGAGCGAAGGAACCGTGCTGTTGGGACTGGGAGGCAGGCTGGTGGTGTAGTCTCCAGTTTCCACAGTGAACCCAAGCGGTGGGCTGGCCACACGGAGGGGTCGCACCCCACGGAACCGTCCCCAACACTCCCAAGTGTAAAGGGGGATTTGCATATCATTTCAGAAAAGGGGAGGAGACTGGGGAGAGGACAAAAGTGTGTTAATTCTGAGACTGACCAGAGAGGGAGATCAGAGAAAAAGGTGACCTTCAGTCCAGCAGCCAGGCACTTGACTGGAGGACCCAAGAAAGACAATATGGCTCCATAAGGCTTCTGGCCTTGGGTGGGGGTAAGGACCAGGGTAAGGACAGGGTAACTACTAATCCTGCCGGCGGCCCTTTCCACCAGGGTCAGCTGGACCTGGCCAGGCAGAGGAATGGGACTCTGGGGGCGGCAGATGGAAACTCTGGGCCAGGATGAAGCCTCAGGAAATGTTTCCACCCCCTCCTGGTCCCCACTCTTTCCCAGGCCTCTCCTTGCCACCAGACAACCTCCATGGTCCCCTCCCACCAGCATTTGTCAGCTGGGTCCAGTGCTTGGCCTGGAGAAACAGACACACAGAAAGGACTCTGTCCTTGGCTAGCCGGGTCCTCCCCTCCCACTCACATCTCCCCTGGGGCTTAGGAAACAGAACTTCAGTGCATTCTTCTAATGCTGATTGAATTCCTTCCTTCTAGACAGCTTTGTGTGCCCTTGGCACAAATGAGAAAAAGAGCAGGAAGGGTTTAAAATAGCACACAACTGGCCAATTCGCACTGCCAGCATGGGCTAGTTATTATAAACAAGAAAACCCAGGTGATGCAATTTGTCACAACTGTCTTTGGCATGGGCTCCAGTGTGGGTTCGCATTTTTAAGAGCACACGTGTCCGTTAGCCAAATGGAAACAAACATACTAGCTGCACGTTCGGTGGCCCACTCCAGGGCCAGTGCGGGGCGTGGCTGCACTTCGCCCGGCAATGGGTTTCGGTGTCCAAATAAAATGTGGTTGTCATCCATTCCTGGCCTCGGGCCCCCTCAGGTGACCTGGGACTTGTGATCATCAGGTGCTGTTGAAATCAGCTATTTCTAGGAACCGGAAACTGGGACTGCCATAAAAGGAAGCCACTTCCTGGGGTTTTTCTTAAAGGCACGTTAGACAGAATCTAGACAGGGCCGCCTCAGGCCAGAGTCTCCTGATTGCAAGGAAATGCTTTACTGTGGACCCGCAGCACTCCTAGGGAGCTCCTCCCCAGACTTTTGAGAGGGCCTGTGTCAGGAGTACAGAGCCGTCATTTATAAAGGAAGTTTTAAATCACTTTATTAGTTATTACATCTGTTCTAACAAGAGAAGAGGGAGCCGTCCTGGGATGAGGCTGCTTGTCCGTCCGCTAGATTCACTCAGTGAGCAGCAACCGCGTAAGTCGGTTCTGTGTCTCAGCAAAATGACAAGTGGACAGCCGGGGACCTTCCGGGTGGTTTGGGAATGACTGAACGTCAACGGCACAGATGCCACGGATCTGCCACAGTCTTGTTGCCAAACCAAGCATCTTGACTGGGGATGGATGAGAACAGCATTGCAACACTTGCGGTCCCTTCTGCTCCCTTCGCCTGGAGAGGAAGTAGTGTACCTTATCAGGATTCCAGAGCCTGGCTGATCTTTGCATTTGAGTGATGCTTTAGATCACAAAGCATTTTAGATCACAAAGCATTTCACAGCTATTATCTCCCCGTTTGAGGCCAAGAGGGCAGATTCTGAATGGATGAGAAAAGCACCAGGATGGGAGAAGCCGTTTCACTCAGATCACATAATTATTAGTTAGTTGAAGCCAGAATTAGAAACTCCAGTCTGCTCTTTCACAACCTGGGGGCTCTTTGTTCCTCGGCTCTAATTTTCCCCACACCTTCTCCTGGCCGAGTCAGCCGGAGGGAGCCACTTGCCGTGGATAGGCGTCTAGAGTCTGCCATGAAGGACTTCATCTCTGCTGCTTAAGACAGGAGAGTCAATTAAAGTTCAAATGCCCCTGGAAGGAGGGATCTAAGTCGGGGATCGGCACACTTTCTCTGCAAAGCACCAGATAATAGGTAGTTCAGGTTTTTCTGGCCATCTGTCCTCTGTCGCCCCTCCTCCAGCCCTGCCTGTAGCGTGAAAGTGGCCCAAGACTACACAACGAGGGAACAAGGCCCTATTTATGGACACTGACATTTGAATTGTATGACTGTCACATGTCACAAAATATTACTTTTTTTTTTTTTTTTTAAGAATTTCACACCATTTCAGGGTGTGAAAACTCTTCTCAGCTCACGGGCCATGCAAAAGCAGGCAGAGGGCCAGACCTCTGCTCTCAGAGGTCCTGGGTCGGTAGCTGTGCGTGGCCTGGTAAAGGCTCAGATGAAAGCATGAGGTGGGGAGAGCCCAGGAGACCAGCCAGTGCCCCAGGCATCCCGGGAGGCAGGGTACAGACAGGTGGCCCTTGCTGTCTCGATGCCATCCCCTGGGTCCATCTCGAAGGAAGCGGCTGCCCACTGGCCAGCTGTGCAGCCACTGAACCCGGGACATTCGCTGCAGCTTCTCGGGCCTTAACGCCGGTGTCGGTCGGCCAGCTGAGGGGGAGCCGGCCGCATCCACCCCGCACCGCGCGCACAGCTGCACCCGGATTCAGCTTTTCCTCTCACGCCATCCATCTGTGGGGGTCCTTGCCTCACTCGCCTCCATCAACGAGGATGAAAGGTCAGATTGCTCCATGTTGCGGTGACATTTGAGGGGTTTCGTTATGGATTTGCTGTTTTTAAAATATAAAAGCCCCTTTGAGGAGGAGGCTGTCGCTGTAGACACAGTAGGTATCGAGTATAAGGTGCTATTGTCCTCAAAGCACTTCTTTTTTTTTTTTTAAAGATTTTATTTATTCATTTGACAGACAGAGATCACTAGTAGGCAGAGAGGCAGGCAGAGAGAGAGGAGGAAGCAGGCTCCCTGCTGAGCAGAGAGCCCGATGCGGGGCTCCATCCCAGGACCCTGGGATCATGACCTGAGCCGAAAGCAGAGGCCTTAACCCACTGAGCCACCCAGGCGCCCCAGCAAAGCACTTCTTATGATTTCACCTGGTTCTCCTGAGTGGAGTGAAAAAGGAGATAGAATTAGCACCATTTTACAGATGGAAAAACTGAGGCTCAGAGCACTAAAATGACCTTACCAACACAAAGCAGGAGGGCAGGATCTGCTTCCAGGTCTGAGTCCAAAGCCCTGACTCGGTGGCCTTTGGCACAGCAGGTTGCCTCTAGGAGGTAAGGTAAGCAGAGAAGGGCTCCAGTAGGGACCAGGAGCCTTGTCTGGACCCAGACCCCTCCAGCCTCAGCCTCTCCTTTGTCTCACTGTGAGCCCTTAGGCAGGGCAGCCACTTTATGATTCTTCTGCTGCTTTGCCTGGGGGTGGAAATGGGCTTCCATCTACTGGCAGTGCCTGCTGCCTGCCCAGCCCTTAGCTCCCTCTCCCTGCCTCCCCCAGAAGCACAGTCTCCAGGGAGACCCACCCTGAGCCTCAAAGCCCTTCTGCATGAAAACCCCTCCTAGAGAAGCTTTTTTTTTTTTTTTAAGATTTTATTCATTTATTTGAGAGAGAGAAGAAAAGAGCACAAGTGGGGGACAGGCAGCAGGGAGGGGAGGAGAGGGAGAAGCAGACTCCCCACTGAGCAGGGAGCCTGACTCAGGCTCCATCCCAGGACCCTGAGATCATGGCCTGAACCACCGAAGGCAGATGCTTAACCGACTGAGCCTCCCAGGCACCCCTCCCAGAGGGGTCTTTACTGTTCTTTGTTCTTAATACTTATTAGTTCATTGTCTGACCTGCACTCAGCACTCAGGATTTCCATGTGCATGAATGAATGAGTTAATGTCTCTCACCCTCATGTACCCGGGGAACCCGGGATAAGTTCTCCAAGTTTAGCTTTCAGTGCAGTAACCCACACGTAGCCAGACTGAAGCAGTCCATAATAAGGTGGCAGGGAGCACCCCAAGGGCCTGGCCCTCTGCACACATTCACCGCATCCCCGGTTCCATCCACAGCGGGCGCCCTCATCACCCATGGCTCAAGGCCAGCGGCTGGCCATAAGGATTTGGACCCCAGTCTTGAGAGCCCACACTGTTCTCACTGGCTCCTCATGGGCATTATGCTGTGGGTAAAGGAGGCTCCATAATTACCCCTAAGGACAAACCCTGGGCCCTGTGAGGAGTGCTGAGGAAGGAAGGAGCGCAGGCCCCCTCACCCCACCCCAGCCCCTACCCTAGCAGGCTAGCAGGCCAGCGCCTGTGCCTGGCCACACTGGGGGCTCGGCTGCTCCCTGCAGGCTGTGTGCCATGGGCTGGAATTCTAATATTCTTCATTGGCAGCCAGGGTAGGCAGGTGCAGAAAACCGACCTGACAGCACTGCTTCCCTCTGAAGCACACGGCCTAGGGATGGATGTGATGGGGGCCCCATTTATAAGGGACACTGACTCTTTACCTCCTAGCCTGAGCTTGAAATCCTGCCATCAGAACTACATCCCTTGGTGTGTTACTGCTCCTGGTTTTCAAGAGACTCCCTGGAAAAATGTTTAAAAAAAAAAAAAAGAAAGAAAGAAAAGAAGTTGGCTGTGAATATTTGTGGGAGGGAGCCCAGAGCAGAGGGGAATAGGGAAAAACCACCGTACTGTGCCAGGGCCCAGACCTCCCCACCAGGCCTTTGCCACCGGATGAGAGATGCGGGACTCAGCCCCATCTTTGCCCTATTTGCTATGAGTGCAAGGGACAGGGGAGCAGTGTGAGGCCTGAACTACCCCCACCCCCACCACACACACACTGCTCACAGCTTCCTTCTCAAGTCCCCCCAGTGCTGACCACAGCTTCCTCCTCCTGCCCGCCCCCCAGCAGACCACTGCACCCAGCTCCTGCCCCCGCCCGTCCCCCAGGGGTAGTTCAGTTCCTCCTCCAGTACCACCCTTCTCAGAGGCAGCAAGAGAGCGGAAAAATAAGATATTTTTGTCCCATTGCACAAAGTTTACCTTATTGAAGATTTGAGGTCAAAAGCTAGTGAGTCCCTGCAGGGATGCCATCAGATCTCTGCGACATCACAGCCTGAGAGTTCCAAGCCCTGTGTCCTCAGGTGAGGTAAGTAGGTGGGCTCTAAGCCCCTTACCCTGCACCTGTGCCCCAGGCAGCTGAGCGGTCCCTTAGCGCTGTTTCTTGCTCCCCCGTGTTCCAGACATGGTTGCAAAGCCAGGCTTCAGGCTAAAGGATCTGTCTCTGTGGGAGACTTCCAGGCTGTGTGGCCAGCTGGGCGGTGGCTATCCATGGTCTTCAGGGAGACCCTGGTCTTCACCATAAGGCAGGCTGACGTGGCCTAGCGTCGGCCTGCTTCCCCTTGGGCTGGGCCCACTCCCGTAGACCCCACAGGCCCCAGATGCTACAACAGCACCTGGGGACCTGTTAGAAGCCCAGACTCTCAAGTCCCACCCCAGAGGGAGTGACTCGGAAACCCTGGAGGTGGGCCCAGCGACCTGTGTTTTAACAAGCCTCCTGGTAATTCTGAGGCACCTCCAGTTTGAAAAACTAGATCAGCCATCCTCGAGTGTTTGCGCTGCCTGCCCGCCCTTACCTGCAGACAAAGCGCTGTTCACGCCTCCACATCGGTTCTCTGTCTTATTTTATACATTGTATCTATTTACGTACACATTACATTTTCCATATAAAGAAAAACATCTGCAAAAAAGATTGAAAAGGGTGCAATCAAGATGAAATTAACAGTATTTGTAAGTGTCTTACTTTTCTCTGGTGATCAGGCCACGGTGGACATCAGCGCCTACGGATGTAAAGTCCCAGCGGTTTGGCCATCTCCTGGTCAGATCTGCGGGAAGCTCTGTGGTTTGACCTCATAACCTGGCTCACTACAAGCTCCCGCGGAGGTGAGAAAAGTCAGTTCTGCCATCCAAGGGCCGCTCGCACTGATTTCCAAATCACGGTCCTATCCAGCCCCAGGTTCCCTTACAAGGATGACTTAAAGCCACCTGTCATTTTCCGAGTTAGCTTACTTAAGTGTAGAGAATCGAATCTCTCCCCTTCAGCGGGCCCGTGGCCGTTGCCCCAAGCTGCAGGCCCCACTTCTCCCTCAGGGCTCCCCTCCCTCACCACCCTCAGGGGTCAGGGGCCAGAGTTCATAGGCATTTGATGTTGATAACGCTGCACAGCTTTCTCTTTCCCCGAAGGCAAACATTAAACAGACTAATGGTTCCTTTCCCGGACCCCACAGAGAATCTTCCACACCCTCTGGAATGTGTGTACCCCGCTTTGCCGACCCTGCGCCAGACTGAACACAGCACTCCTCCTCTTTCCCGAAAAGCCCCATGGAGACCTCTGAAGGGACGTCATCTTCTTAAGGACCCGCCAGGAGCTGTAGGATCCACCTAAGGTAGTTCTGTGCCCGGTGGGCCTCAGGGGGCCACCCATCCCCCTTCACTCCATGACCCGCTCTCCCTGACTCTGTTACCAGCCAGGAGGTCCCACATGGGAGCCAGGGGTCTCAGCCACCCGCAGCAGGCAGCCCCTCCCCGCGGGCCCCCGCGGGCCCCCTGCACCTGCCTCAGCGCCCCGCCCACGCTGGTCCACAGAGCGGGGGCCGGGGGCGGGGCGCGGGTGAACGGGGGCGGGGCTTTCCCTGTGGGGGCAGGTCCCAGCTGGCGACCAAAGCAGAGGGAGGGGCTGCTGCCTCCCTGGGGGGCTGCAGGGTGGCATTTCTGAAATTTCATTTCCTGTCACCATTCCGCGGCAGGTGTTTCTGTTTTTAAGTACGTCTCCAGTTGCTATTCCGGTCGTGTGAGGCGCTAGTTTTTTCCAAGGACCGAACTGCTATTTTTTCCTCCGGTGGAGGCGCGGTCAGCAGCCAGTTCCCAGCCAGGATCCGCTGTGTGGCAGAGTCCCCTCCCTGAGCCAGCCCCAGCCCAGAGACCTGGGGACACGCCAGACAGCTGGGGAGCCCCAGTGGAGCGGGGAGCATTCCCTCGGGCAGCTCAACAGCCCTCTGGGTTTTGGTTGCGTTGCACACATCACGCGCACCGGGCCCCACCCAGGGAAAGAAAAATAACAACAAGCCAGGCCCATGCACCTTCTGGGGACCCAGCCCCAAGGGGCCTTAGAGTAGCGGGGTACAAACGCGGACCAGAGGGAAGCAGATGGAAAGCTGCTCACAGGAAAGCCAGAACCTCAAATCCATTGACTTGGGGTTTACAAACACCCTGAGAAGCACCAGATATATTCCAAAGATCCCTGACCCCTCCATGAGAATTTCAGTTTTCCTTTGAACAAAAATCTTAAAAATCAACCTAAACATGTTCCACGGCATATGAAAAGATCATCTCATAACTGTTTCTAGAGATTTTAGAGCCACGAAGTATTGTTTAAAAGAATGGAAAGGAGGACTTCATTCATGAACAACATCACTGTGTTCTAGAAGTGCAAGTGGGGTGTTTGCAGGTTTTCCAGTGGGGGAGAGACACGGAGTAACTGCTTCATCGCACCACACAGGTGGTGTCACTAAACACGATATTCAGTGTTGGGTTCAGGAAAATAACATGGCGGATCCTGTTCAAGAAAGCGTGCTACCGTGAGTTTCACTGGTGTGGAGACTTTGTGCCTTTCATTTGTACACTGGTCTTGGGTAGCGTTAGGTAAGAGCTATTAAGCATACAGAGCTTAAATAATGTTGTGTTCATAGTTATTTAAGTAATGTAGGTGAAATAATTTGTCATCCCTGGGAGGATCGTTAGACTTTTGGTTTCCTTTTTTTATTTATTTTTAAAGATTTTATTTATTTGAGAGAGAGCATGAGCAAAGGGGGGGGGGCTGGGAAGAGGCAGAGGGGGAAGCAGACTCCCCGCTGAGTGGGGAGCCCACCATGAGGGCGGATCACAGGACCCCAAGATCATGACCTGAGCCGAACTCAGACGCTTAACTGACTCAGCCACCCAGGTTTCCTCTTTTTAAAAAGAGGTTTATACATGACTCACATTTTAAAATCATCACTTTGGTGTTCAAATTAGATATACAGAATTATCTAGAATGAAGGTTGTTGCTGGAGCAGTCTTTCAGGTTTTAGGACTAGCAAAGGGAGGGAACACGTGGGAGGTATCCTATCACTTGTATGTTTACAAGGAGCTGAGTTTAAGCAGAAACTGTTCATTACCAGTGCCCTTCCTTGTGCCTGAAATCTTAGTTTCTAGTGCTTTGTGGTCAATAAGTAAAAAGTTAATTTCATGCATGTGCCATTGCCTGCAGGACAAAAGGAAATGTGATTTGAACATACACACGTGGGCACACGCACAGCCTGTCCCCCCACCCCCACCCTGGAGCAGTGGCAGGCGGGCAAGCTTACCACCCAGGAGTGAATCGGTGTCTCATCTCCCAGTCCGCCTTCCCAAGTCCTTCCCGACCTCGCTCACCTGTGGGTTGCAGGTCATCTAGCTTAGGTCCCAGCTGTCATGCCATGAGGGCAAGAACCACAGCTTGGTTTGGGTCATTCTCAGACCCTGAGAGCCCCGCCTGGCTCACAGGAATAGATCTAGAAACAGCAGGGCAAGAGGCTTAGGAATGGTAAGTTCCTGTAAGTCACGAGCAACCCATGAAGTGGCAAGGTGTCCCGGCCCCCCATGATGTGGGAATCCCACCAGGGAGCAAACCAATCCCAAGTCCTTTTGGTGCTTCCAGCAGAGCCAGAGACTCAGGTGGCAGCAACCCTCAGGACAGAAACCCCAGAGATCTGGACTCCCTGCCTTCAGAGAAGAAACCTGCCAGAATGTTCTCATTTGGAAGTGGGTGGTTGGTGAAGGAGGATAGACTAAGGCTGGCAAACAGAACAGACAAACGAAGCCCTGGGAAGGGATTTTTCAAAAGCTGGATACCGCAGGACCAGGTGGGGCTAGGGGGTGTTTCCTGGGAGGACAGGGGTTTGTACCATCACCTTTGTCGCCTGAGAGTGTCTGACGGTACCCTAGGTGTATTGGTGTGCCCAGACTGCCAAGAACAAAGCACCACAGACAGCAAGGAGGGTGGGTAACACCACAGGAATAGATCTTCTTACAGTCTGAGAAGCTGCAAGTCAGAGCTCAAGGTGTTGGCCGGTTCAACTCTCCTCAGGCCTCTCTCCTTGGCGTGTGCATGGCCACCTCCTAGCTGCGTCCTCACGCAGCCTTCTCTCTGTGCGTGCTCATCTCTGCTGTCTCTCCCTCCTCGAATAAGGTCACCAGGTCCTGCTGGATCACGGACCACATGCACAACCTCATCTAACATAAGGATATCTTTAAAAGCCCTATCCCCAAGTACAGTTACAGTCCGAGGTAACTGGGGATTAGGACTTCCAACGTGTGAATTCAGGAGGATGTATTTCAGCCCACAACACCAAGAAGATGGCATTGGGCAAGTGTGGAAACTCTGGCCCCACACTGTGCCCTTGCCAGTAAAGGTCATGCAGAGCCCCGCTCCGCCCACCCGACCCTCCCCCGCCCCACACCAGTTTGGTTCAGATCCGTAAGAAAGACGATGCACTAGTTCCAGGAATGCCTTGTCTCACCTCTCCTCGGCCCCTGGCAGGATATGCCAATGCTGACCTTTGGCTCAGACTCCAGTTTTTGAACCACAGGCTGCTGAACCAGCACTGAGCACTTGTTGTGTCCATCTTTGTGAAAGTGGAACAAAGAGCCTATTTTCATGTTGACCTGTAGAGGCTAGGTAGGCCCCAATGGCCCTGGGTCCTGGACACTGATCCCAAATCTGCTCAGTGCGGCACAGGCCACCTCAGGTGCCCTTCTGGATTCTGTTTACTCAGACAGCTCGGCAATCTGTCCAGCCCACAGGGCTGGCTGTCACACACATGGCCCTCGGCGCGCCACCCGCTGGGTCTGTGAGTCACCTTCCCCAGACGCCGCTGGTCGGGAAGCACTTGGGGATTCCGACAACTCCGTTAGCAGCAATACCTGACCCCCTCACTGGTCTTCATCAGCAAGACTGTGGTGACCGGCACGCGATTTCCACTGCCATCAGTGACAGACCAGGTAAATCAGACCAACTCCTTCTCCAAGGCCAACTAGAAAAGCTGAATTAGTTGTAAAAGTTATGAAAGGCATCCAAGAGCTAACACGAGACTGAACACTTCTTGGACCAAGATCCCACGCAGAGCAGACACTCAGGTAGGCAAAGTGGGCGTTCCGAGCCTGGGTGCATTTGCTGATATGCAGAGGACGGCAGGTGGAGACAGAGCCTTGCTTTGGAAAGCTTCCCAGGCTGCTGGGCAGGCCCACACAACTGCAGTTAATATGCACATCAGAAATGAGTAAATGGAATTGAGATTTTTCTAAGGTATTCACATTGTCCAAAAAAAGGAGATAAAAGTGATCATTTCTTTTAGAAACTGGATAGCTCAAAAAAGTATTGTAATTTCCAAGTTTGACCACTAAAAACCGTATTTTGTAAAAAGTGTAACTACCAAATGAAGAGAGAAAATAATGAAATCGTTTAAAAAGAACTAAAGAGGGCAAGAAAGAAAAGAGAAGGAAACTTCAACTGGGACAAAAAGAAAATAAATAATAACATTTAAGCCCAAGTGAATTAGTAATTAGATTAAAATGTAAATAGGTTAAATCCTTTAAAAATTTAAAGGTCGGCTGACTTGATAAAAACAAAACCCCATTATAAGCTGCTTACAAGAAGCATCCTTAAAATACAAAGAGAGAGAAAGGTTAAAAGTTAAACTATGGGGAAAGAGACAGCAATCAAAAACCTAAAGAATGTCAGAGTAGACATTATCAGGAAAAAAATAGATTTCAGGGTGCTCAGCTGGCTCAGTTGGGGGAGCATGCTACTCTTGATCTTGGGGTCGTGAGTTCCAGCACCACGTTGGGTGGAAAGATTGCTTAAAAATAAAATCTTTAAAAAAAGAGAGATTTAAATCAAGAAGTAATACTAGAGGTAAAGAAGTATTTCCTAGCAATAAAAATTTTGATTCACCAGAAAGATCTAGCAAATTTAAATTCCTATGTGCATAATAAAAACAGCCTCAAAATGTAGAAAGCAAATGTTGATGACTAAAAGAAAAAACAGCAAATGTATAACTGTAGTTAGGAAATAGTAACACATTTCTCCCAGAAACTGGGGAAACAAAAAGTCTGAAAGGAATGGGAAGGACATACCACTTCACTGATCCCAAATGATACATCCAAGCTATCATCTAGCCAAGTATTGGACTTTAAAAATAAAAAGGAGAAACATCTTTTGGACATCTTGACAAAAAGACAGAGTAACACATCAGGAAAAGAAAATTCAATTCTTAACATTCTAATAACAATATTCTATGCCACAAGAAAATGGATAAGGTAAGAAAGGAAGGAAAGAAAATGAGAGCCAAGGACTTTTTTAACCTTGCCAAGTTGGCTCTTAAATACAGATATTACAACAACGGGGCGCCTGGGTGGCTCAGTGGGTTAAAGCCTCTGCCTTCGGCTCAGGTCATGATCCCAGGGTCCTGGGATCGAGCCCTACATCGGGCTCTCTGCTCAGCAGGGAGTCAGCTTCCTCCTCTCTCTCTGCCTGCCTCTCTGCCTACATGTGATCTCTGTCTGTCAAATAAAATCTTAAAAAAAAAAAAATTACAACAACATGCAAAATTGAGGGAATGGGAGTTCCATAGCCCTTGCTTAGGAAACTACTAGAGAATGAAGTTTAGACAACCAAAATGACAGCTATGTGGCCTGTGTGTGTGTGTGTGCGCGTGCCACGCTCGTTAAAGGAAGGCTGCATGAAGGGTATAAAAGAGAGAGTATCGTACGTATTAATGCTCCTAAAAGAAGAAGAGAAAGGGGTGGCGTGGAATGAGCACACACACACAAAGTAACCTTTTCAGCTGTTTTCAGTAACCAAATTTTGAGAGTAGTGTATCACTTCCCACCAAAAGAAACCAGTGTCTCAAGGGGAAATGTCTGGGAGAATTGTACAAGATGAGCCTAGGATATCTTGTCCTGGGCGATGGGAAAGAAACTATCAAAGACACAGGAGCCAAGTAGACTTGGCCAAATATGGGACAATTTGAGTATCGAGGACAGTTACTGAACTGAGTGAAACATGAAACACACCCACAACAGTTTCCCTTCTCTGTGCATGACCCTCATTGACATTGAACCGCACAGGCTTGGGCTGTGCAGTCCACTTACATGCAAATTTTGTCCAATAAATACAGTGCTGTCCTGTCAACGTACTTTTTCTTCCTTATGATCTTCTTAATAATAATTTTAATTTCTGGAAACAGAAACCCTACCACGGAGCTCCCACTACCTGTTGGAGTTGGGGGGTAACCGGGTAGACAGGAGGCATCCAGAGATTTAAGGATAAAGTCCTACCCAGGTCAAGATGCACCTTTTTTCTTTCCCTGCTTCCATTGTTTTTGTTCGCTTGCTTGCTTGCTTTGTAATCTATTGAGTTGGTTCAAAGGGCATAGAGTTCCGTTGGGGAGACATGTATTTATGAGTTTTAAAAAAGGTAAGAATTCCTGGCAAATGAATATGCTCTCAGGGACATGAATCTCAAAGACACCACGGGCTGTAGGAGTTAAGGCAGGAGACTTACTTCTCAGGGCTGGGGCGGAAAGACTTTGGGCTCATAATGGAAAATTTGGGTTTCTAGCTCGTGACCTCGGAGAAGCCCATTCCACCTTTCTTCATCCTCATCGGCAAATCAGCAAAGGAAGCCTCAAAGGTTTGCCCTGAAGCTCTTTGTCGAAGGCATGTCTTATAGGCCACTTGGTTAGGACCAACTTTCTGTCCAGGCTAGTGGGTGCTAGAGAAAGGGTAGAGGCCAAGGAGATACAGCCATTGTGGGGGGAGGGGGGCAAAATAACCCACAGAAGAACTCTAAGATATCAAACAAGGGCAGGCAGGGGCGTCTGCCTCTCTGAAGGAGGCTTCTCACTGCCCTGGGCTCCCCTGGGCTGAATGGGACCAAGATGATCCTGTGTCTGGCAGGTCACCTCTCCTCCCCACCCCACCTGCTCCCCACTTTCCTCAACCTTTAGTAAGGAGGTTCAATGAGTTCTATATCCCTGTCATGGATCTAAGTACTGCAAAGAAAATTCATCCTAAATCGTCATCCAGCCTGGAAGGATCTACGTTCCTTGAAATGGGAACCCAGAAACCCACTCTCACCTAGGCCTGCTGATGAGTCCAGCCATCATGCTGCTCTCATTGTCCAAGGCGAATGACTATAAATTACCCTGTTGATTTCATCAGCACCAAGGGCTGGGAGGAGGGAGGGGAGGGGGTTGTATATAACCAGGAAGTCCAGAGGACCTGGGCTGGAGAGAAATCCTTGAGACACACGGGGGTGGTTGTCCTAAAATCCCATTGACATCTCTTTTCCTTTTCTATTTTTTTTAATTGATAAATCCGATTTTGAATGTGTGATCTGAGTCCCGGCCAAGCCACCAAGCAGTAGATCTGGCCACCCTAGCCTGCTGCTTTCTAATCTCTATAATGGGTCTATGGCACTGCTGCCATGTTACAGAGAGAGACACGAATTGTGAAAGAAAGCACTGTGTGAACTCTGAGTGTTGGGCATTGTCTGTTCATTTCTTCAGACAGCTTCTGCAGGATCACCAAACACGTGCTGGGCATGGCGAGCTGGGCAGAGGGCAGGATTCTCCCACAGAGGACGCTCCTGAATGTCAGAAAGAACATGTGACCTCATGACAAATTCTTCATCACCAATTCTTCTAAGTCACGCAAGAACCCCCGCTTGTAAGGGCTCCAGGTCACCATGGATGTACTGGAATGTCCCATAGCCGCATGGCCCAGAGATGCGCTGCTGCTGGACTTTTCCAGGCCCTCGGGGGAAACCCACCCCAGAGCTTTCCAGGAGTCAGGTACTTTTGGATTTGTTTCCTTTTTCAATATGTACCCACAAGGAGCCTGGTTCCCTTGCACTCCCTGGGAGGGGGATCGTGCAGTGGTTGCCAGGCTGGATCTGGTCACCCTGGCTCATTGGATGTCCCTGGGCAGGTCACACTTAGCAGCAACCTTTGGGAGGTGTCCCTCTGGTTTCTCATCTGTGTATGCAGCAAGGAAACCATAACTCCCCCCTTCACAGGGTTAAGTGAGGATACAGTAATTCACACAAGTACTGAACGATGCCTCGCCCCCCCGGAAGCCTTCAAAATGTGTTAGCTAATTACTCACAGGGAAAAGTTAAAGCTGTATGAAATGCTTATTTCTCAGAGAGGCAGAGAGGCTCGAGGAGGCCTCTGTAGTGCAATATGGACTCAACATGAAGGAAAAGCTTTTCTGGCCGGCGCACCTTCCAGGTCAAGAAAGGGCAACCAAATGGGCCCCAAGTGGCCCAGGCCTGAGGTTTGAGGGGTAAGTTCATGCACAGTGGCGAGGAGAGGCTTGTCACCAGTGTGGACAGTAACCATCCACCCGCCCAGCAGGAGCTGTGGCTCCAAACAGTAGGCCTCGGGGAGACAAGCGAGGACCCCTTCTCTCGCACTGCTCACTTGACACATATTTAGACATTATACACTGCATCCCACGGCACTTGACGCAGAAACGTGGGGACCTCCCAACCCCCAGCCACAGCCACGCTGCTCCAGGCGTGATTTAGGGTCTGGGCTTATTTATGAGAGCCCGTGAGTTCATTTCAAAATGTCAAATGATCCTTGGTGACTAATGGTCCCTGCTGCGCTCAGTATCTTCACAGAGGTCGTCCTTCCGCGCTCTGAGGTCCTCCATGCTCCGGGAACATCCATCTGGGTGTCTGTTGCAAGGAGCTATTGTGTCATCAAATCACCCAAAAAAGCCAGGGAGCCCAGCCCCTGCTGAGGTGAGGAATGGGGGTGTCTCAGCAACAAGGCACACCCCAAAGAACAAAGGAGGCAAGAGCTGGAGAATGGGAGCATACACATTCACCCACCGAGAAAAAAATAAACGGTGCATTGGGCAACTGGGTCTCACGTGACGTGTTCCAGAAACAATTTTATTACTTTACTGTTTTTGCTCATAACTTACCCATTGAAACCTACTCTGTGGAGCTAGGTCTGATTTTACCCATAAGTGAATCTCTGACAGGGTCTGTGGCTCTCCTTTTAAAAAAATCCTCTGGCCACTATTTAGCAACTTTTATTATGGAAATTTTCATATATAACCAAAATTTTTTAAAATGCTATAATGAACCCCATATAATGAGTCACACCGCTTTGCTAGTTATGAACGGTCTTGTCTCACCGGTTTGCATTTCGCCCAGAACACACACTGGAATATTTTTTTTATAAGGTTTATTAATTTTTTTTAGAGAGAGAGCACGAGTCGGAGGGGCAGAGGTAGAGAGAGAATCCCAAGCAGACTCCCCACTGAGCAGGGACCCCCCCCCCCCCGCCCACCTCCTCGACGCAGCGCTCGATCCCACGACCCCAAGATCCTGACCTGAGCCGAAGTCAAGACTGGGACACTCAACTCACCAGGCATCCCTGTGCTGGAACCTTTTAAAACAAATCCTCTAGTTATTTTTAGAAACAAAATTGTCTTCGTTGAACTCAAGTCTGGTGACATAATCTAGGATCCCAAACTCCCAGTCCCCGTGTCAAGTGGAAGTTCCCTCTCCCACCTGAGGCTGCTACAGGCTGGGAGCCTGTCTCCGAGGTTCTTCTTCTCCCGCTTACAGCTGCCTCTGGCTCCCTCAGGGGGTGGTAAGGAAGAGAGGAGATGTTCCCGCTGGCTCTCAAAGGCTACACGCCAAGGTCAGCTAGGAACCCCCCCGAGGCCTCTTCATATCTCTCTCCCATGCAGGTCTTGTCTCCTCAGACCGTGCCCTGATCAGATGGGCAAGGGGTGGAGACAGACAGGTGTCAGGTTGCCCGGGTTGGAGAGCAATGCATGGCGGGTAAACCGGACACAGCATGGCCACCCTTCACTATGATGACATTTTTCCAGTGGAAAGAGAATTTCGGTGGGAGGAAAAGAAGATGCGCCCTGCTTGTATGCACTAGGTGAAGTGCAGAGTTCTCATTCCCGCTTGGGGGACCTGACATCTCACTTGGGGATGTGGAAATAGCTGTCACTTCTTGCCTTGGAGTTCTGCTATGCAGTGTGGAGGTCACAAGCCACGTGTGGCTATGGAGCCCTGGAGATGCGCTGTTAGTGCAAGCCACGCACTGGGCTTCCAACAGTAAGTCAACGCCTTACTACTAGTTTTTAAATCGATTACATGCTAAACTGATAATACGTTTACATTGCATTAAGTCAAATGTATTGTTGAAACTAATCTCACCTGTTTCTTTCATGTGGCTACTAGAAAATCTTAAATGTAAAATCGAAAAACGTCATGTTGGAGGTTCCCATCATCCTTTTGCAGACAGCCTGGCCTTCGAGACTCACCGAAAACCGTGAGGGGAAATTGTTGCATTTTAATATCATGTTAGGAACACTCTTCCTCCCTCCCCACCAAAAACAAAAAAAACAAAAATGACAAAAAAAAAAAAAAAAAAACACAGAAACTGGTCCTGGAGGGGCGCCTGGGTGGCTCAGTGGGTTAAAGCCTCTGCCTTTGGCTCAGGTCATGATCCCAGGGTCCTGGCATCGAGCCCCGCAGCGGGCTCTCTGCTCGGCAGGGAGCCTGCTTCCTCCTCTCTCTCTGCCTGCTTCTCTGCCTATTGTGATCTCTGTCTGTCAAATAAATAAAATCTTCAAATAAAAATAAATAAATAAAATAAAAACTTGTTCTGGAGCCAACAAAGGTTTGATCTGGATGCGTGCCCTGTTGGCCCTCTTCCGTGTTACTCATGATAAAGAGAGGCCCAGAGAGAAGTGACTGGTTTGGCCGGGCCCCCCGAGTGTCACTGAGGAGCGCCCCCGTAATTTCCAACTGCTTCTGCGAAACAGTAGGCAAGAGAGGGGCCAAACTTCCAGAAACCCTCCCTCATCGATGCCTCAGAACGAAGTCTGCCAGTGTCCCCCAGCGGACTGCGGGTTGGGGGTCGAGGCCGGTCGGGGGCCAGGGGGGCCCGCCTGCACCTGTGGCCGGCTGGGTGTGCGCCCCGCAGACCGCGCAGGGCCCCGGGAGGCCTGGGCCTGAGGTCAGCAAACCGGCAGCCGGAGGCCGGAACCTGGCCCTCAGACCTGTTTGGACTGGCTCGCCATGTTTTACGGTTTTTTGAATCATTTGCCAATGTTTCAACATTAGGAAACGTCAATAAAAATATGGCTTCCACTTCTGAAGAATGAGCTCTGGCAACACGAGGCTTGCTTTCCTGCCGGGCAGCTGTCTGCCGGCGCTCCCAGCAACTGCCCCTCGGATGTGGGGATGTGGCCCCGAACCCCCTGAGCCCCCCTCCCCGCAGCCCTGCCCCTGCCCACTCTCTCCCCCGGGGGCCTCGGGCGGCCTGCGCTCAACTTGACCCGTGGTTCTTCTTGGAGCAGGGGTAGGAGGAAGGGGAAATGGGTTCCACACCTTGCTCCATCGAGGCAAAGAAATCAAATCTAAGCCAAGAGGGCTTCATGTTCCAGCAAAAAGATCTTTTCTCCCTGGCTGTGCCCCCACTTAGCTCCCTCCTCACCGTGGACACCCGGGTGTGCCACCCCGGCTAACTCCTTTCTGCTGCATCCCAGAATGAAAGGGAAGGTGGCCGTTTAGTCGTTTGCCCTGAGAAAACTGAGGCCCCTTGAGGTGGCCATCCACTGGATGCTGGGAGCTGGCTGGGGAGTGGGGCCCCCGAGGGCCAGGGTGTCTGAGGTCTGGGGCTTCTCTCTAGCCCTAACGCTCCGGGGCCAGGTCACCAGCATTGGTTGGCCATTTGTTGGTTCTTCTGCCCCAGGGACAGATAATGTATCTCAGAGTGGGAGCAAAATTCGATACAGTCAGTCTCCTCCACGGCCCCCTCTTGGCTTTTCCCAAGGGCCATATCTAGGCACAGGGAGGAGAAGGACACGAATTCAGCCAGGCTGAGGACAGTCACCACTGGTGAGATGCTCAGCTTGGCGCTTCTGCTACTTTCCCGACCATCCGGCCATCCTCTGTTCCTGGTGGCATCCCCCCCGTCACCGCCCTGGAGCCAGCCCTGTCTCCAGGATGTGGGGCCGGCCACACCCAGACACCTGCAGCTTCCAGAAGAGAGGAAGCAGGGTCCCTGACAAGGCCTGCCACGGGAGGTCAGCAGCCTCACCGGAACCAAGCAGCCTCTGGAGCCAGGGCCCCTCGCAGCAGCCTCACTGTCACGGTGACATGCGTCCAGCAGGGTCACGCTCCCTGCCGCTGCCTATTCCCATCCAGTCCTCAAAACCGACGAATCAGTGTGGAAACAGACACTTGAGCAATTGCCTGGAATAGGGAGCCGTGCTTGCTGGGTAGATGGCAAAGGATGTTACGTCCTTCATTTCACTAGAAAATGAGCGGAGACAAAGCTCTGGAGTGGAAGGAGGGGGCACGAACTTCTTTGACCAACCAGGGGAGCTCTCAACGCAGAATCCTGGATTGCCTGCCCTGCTGCTAATCACAACATTCACACTTCCATTTGCTCCTTTGTTTTTCCCTTTTGTTTGTTTAGGGGGAAAGTACCATGCATGATAGGATTGAGTGGGGGGAAAAAAAAACAAGCAGAAACCATGGTTTAGAATGCTACTTTTATGGTAGAATGGGGCAGGGAAAGAATCTCATTCAGGCTTGCTTGGATTTACATCAAGAAAATACGGAAGGATACAGAAGACGCTGGCTAAAATAGTTGCTGGGGGACAAGGGAGAAGAATATATCTTGGAGTATACGTTTAAAAATAAAATGAAATGTCAACTAAATAAAAATACCACAAACAACTCACAAATAGTTTAAAAAGCAGAGCAGGAACTCCCACCCTTAATCCTACTCCTGTAAAATCATACTCATTTTGGTTATTCTCTTTCTGTTCTCATCCGTATGCTTTTATATTTTTTTAAAGATTTTTATTTATTTCTTTGTGAGAGAGAGAGAGAGAACGAGAGAGGGAGAGAGAGCATGAGAAGGGGGAGGGTCAGAGGGAGAAGCAGACTCCCTGCCGAGCAGGGAGCTCCATGCGGGACTCAACCCCAGGACTCCAGGATCATGACCTGAGCCGAAGGCAGTTGCTCAACCTACTGAGCCACCCAGGCACCCCATGCTTTTATATTTTATATGTGCCTACAACCACAGCGCACAGAAAAGTGTCCTCTGATCACTTCGCTGAATATTGGAAGCGTTTCGCAGGTTGCCAGTAAGAATTCATTTTGGTTGGATACATAAAAGTCCATCAGCCTTCTTGTTTCTAAAGACCCTTGGCCTTTATTTCTTCCTTTCTGAAGCTAACGGGGTTGATTCGCTTTGAAGCTCATCACTCAGCAGAATCGTAGCCAGGTCGTTGGAAGAACAAAACGAGAGACTGTCTCTTCCTAGGACACAAGCAGAAGAACCCACACCTTTCCTCCAGGCCACTGGGATTGTGACCTTACACAGCAGGAGTTCCCACCAAGGGTTTTCATACCCTTCAGAGCTAAGATACTCTCAGATCTGTTTACTTTTCATTTTAAAATGGTTATAGACTTGGGGCGCCTGGGTGGCTCAGTGGGTTAAAGCCTCTGCCTTCAGCTCAGGTCATGATCCCAAGGTCCTGGAATCAAGCCCCACATCAGGCTCTCCGCTCAGTGAGGAGCCTGCTTCCCCCTCTCTCTGCCTGCTGCTCTGCCTACTTGTGATCTCTCTCTCTCTGTGTCAAATAAATAAATAAATAAATAAATAAAATAAATAACTTTAAAGTGATTATAGACTCACAGGAAGTTGCAAAAATAGGACAGAGAGAGCCCGGTACTCTTCACCCAGCTCCCCCCAGTGGTTACATCTTAGATAAGTACAGTACAGTATCAAGGACAAGAAAATGACTTTGATACAATGTGTGTTGTGCTGAGCCATTTCGCTGCAGATTCCCATAAGCAGCACCCCAGGCAAGATATGGAACTATTCCAGAACAAGAAAGGTTTCCCTCGTGCGGGCCCTTCTGCCCAAGCCGTCCCTAATCCCTGGCAACCAGGGACCTCTTCTCAATCTCTCTGATTTTGTCATTTCAAGAATGTATAAATGAGGGGCACCTGGATGGCTCTGTCGGGTAAGCATCTGCCTTCAGTTCAGATCACGA